GGGAAGAGAATGGAAGAAGTGCTGTAATAAAACTGGGATTGACTCAGGCCGATTACAGAGGTTCTCACCGGACATTTCCCATTGGGAGGCCATCTTAATATAAGAAGGCTGTATAACAGAGAGCTAAGCTACAAACATTGCAACATAGGGGCAGAAACAGGTCGTCATATTTTATGTGAATGTAAGGTACAAGAGGCAAATAATCTTTGGACAATCTACATTATGTCCAGAAGAATATGACGAATATTAAACACGAGACCTTTACAAACTAGTACAGGGAATCAGATTGAAAGAGATGAGGGATAAGATGCAATAAGCCCATGACGCACTGAAGGGTTATGATTAGGATCAGCAATCTACAAGCTTGAACAAACTGTAGAATTTGACTAAAGGCAAGAGACTGCTACCGGGATTCCTAGAATATTTATTCACTTCGTAATAAAAAAGAATGGTAAATTTTCTAGACATTTTTTCACTCACCCAATGAAATAAAACACTAGAAGGGTAAATTAGATTGAAACGGAATACTTAACGGTATGTTGTATGTTTAGGAATTGGAAGATGGCGGCCATTTTGACGAAATAACAAAAAAGTGCTTTCGACTGTGAAAATTGTGTTGCATTGAAACATATTTTTCTTAGGAGAGATAACTTTTTGGGAAAAACCTCTTCATCGACATACAGAAAGTGGATAACTTTTGAAGAAAAGAGAAAAATTAAATACTGCAGTAAAAACTCTAGATGTGTGAGAATATGCAAAGAAGTTGTTTCAGATACAAATTCGAATAAAAATTCATCCGCCTACTTTCAAACATGAACATTCAGATCCATGAATGCTACAAAAATAACTTTGTTGTTCTTTGAGGTTTGATTTATATATTATTGGGTTTATGTATGCCTTTTTGTGATCGTCGTACCTTTGGATCAGTTTTCGGCCAAACCAAGAACAAATACAAATCAAAACACAAGACCTAACATTCAATATACTACACAAAACAATACACTCTCCTAGAAACGGTAAACCTAGAGAAGGTCAAACACAAAGGATATTACCTGGTGTAACCCAAATACAGGCAAATTTACCTACAGTACCTGCACTAAGGCGTTCTATAAGATCTTCAGAATATTTTCAAAAGAATGGTGCCCAGAAACCTAACTTACCGCCATTTGAACACTTTGCACGAACAGCTTGAATTTTATTCCTGACATTTGGTTATTCAACACTATTACCTAAATCCCTGTTCGTAAAATTAATTTATTGATTTCGTTTTTTGCACGAAACTCAACTTGCGGACGCGTCAGTAAGATGGCAGCGACGGTCGAGAGAAGGAATTGGTGATAGCCACTTTTGCCAGACATGTTCCTCTTCGGTCGTCATTACGGCCACCAAGAAAAACATTCGCCAGCCGGTACAATCGCTAAATGTTTTTTATTTTTTATGTACCTATAAGATGGATATCGAGAAGTTTCAAGCATAGGATGAATGACATTTGCAACTGAGCAATAAACAACTGTCATTACAAAATTAATTTCCATATATTCTTTATCGTATGACAGAATTCCTTGAACCCTATAATGGGGAACATTCAAAGAACCTGTTGGGTGGGTTCATGAATTCTTTTGGGGACAGTCATTTTTGGATTATCACCTATAATTATCTGTTAATACTTATTATAATAATTTTAAACAATAATGGAAATGAAAGTACTCCCTAGTTAAGTTCATTGATTTGAATTATTGATAAGTAAACTAGTGATGATGTATTTAGAAAAGAATTCCGTCTACTGAATTGAAATTATAAAGTACGGGTTATATCTGTTGTTGACTATTGAATACGTTTTGGATAAAGACATCATTTTGTAATGTATGAAAATGTAAAAATGATTTTTTCTACTGATTTTTTAATAAAAGCGAAAAATTTGATTCGTTTTTCATAAATGCAGTTTTACTGTATTGTCTGCATTACATATCTAGATTTGCAAGAAAATTATGCAAAACATGCAAGTTTGTAAAAGTTTTATGATATTTTGTTGTAGCGACTATCTGATTTTCATTTAATGAACAAAGTTTGGGTAACGAAACAAGTAAATTGAGTATCTGAAAACAAGCTAATGCTTAATTGATATACTTCAAAAAAATAAAAACAATACTATTAGAAATTATCAGTAAAGAAAACCTTTTTTTTTCTTCAAAAACGTGATTTACTGTACAGTTAAACTTTATGTTTGCAACAGATTGAATTGGGTGTTTCCCAAAGAGAGGGTTGAAAAAGTATGTTTTGTTTGTATGCTTTAACGTTGGGAGAGATGAATGTTTTGAAATTTCATTTCGAAATAATTATGTACTTTCTTCAGTGAAAATTTCATAATGAAGTGTTATTTAAATACGTTTTCATACATTTTCCTGAAGACCAATTCCATGACATAGGTGAAATATTTTTGCTGTCAGTAATTAATAGATAAAATACTAATTTTGTTCAAAATTTCCCTATCAGTGACGAATTTCCCAGAAATTGAGGTATTCTCAGACATCTGGCATCAGTAGTCACCGCAAAATACCAACAGAAATTTTGAAGAAGGTAGGTAATTGGCAAGGTTCAGAGATAATACACTTGGAAAACAAAGTGTATTCATAACATTTACAATTTTTTGATAATTGGGAAGCCGTTGAAAATAAAAGTAGTCAAGATTGACAAAAAATCAGTGTGAGAACATCCATACTTTATATGGTAAGAGAACTTCCCTAGGACCCTATTTGAAATTGCTTCTGAAATGGAAAACAGCATATTGTTGGAAATGAAGAGACTTTTTCTCATAATCATAGATATGTTGCAACTGAAGTTTTTGTGGATATGTAGTTTATGGTCATATTTATTTTATTATAATGGAAAAAAAACTCATAGTTAGGAAAAGTATGTAAAAAATAACGACATTATTTTGATATATAGTTGTAATTTTTTGTATTTTCATTAAGTAAATATTTGCAGAACCTTCAGTTTGTACGTGGGTCACCCTTGTTTAATGAATTTTTCATCGAATATTTTGAATCATTTAGAGTGAAAAAGAAAATGCTATTTTTTTTAAGGACTCTTACTGCTTTTCATTAGATTTGTCATTTCTTCGGAAATTATCTGAGAGACGTTTCCTCAGTGACTCCATATTTATCTATGTTTCTTATGTATGTATTTATGATGTACTGTAAATTGATTTTAGTCGTTTCCTATACAATTTCTATATATAAACACTAAATGGAATACATATTATCATTTCCAATACATTTTCATTCCTTTGCCATTTCTGTTCTTGTTGAAAACTGTGCATGAACACATCCGTGTAAATCAATATTGCAAGAAGTGAATGAAATAACAAATATTTCACTGTTTGTGACTACTGTTTTTTTGGCATTCATAATAGTTTTTCCTGAATTTGACCCTCAAATTTTAAAATCTAGATTGTGCCTACTCCATAGTTCTCCCCAATAATAGTACTAAGACCGAAATAACAAATGTGTTGAATTCAATTTCTAGACATAAAATATCATAATATTATTATTGGCCCATACTTATTATTCGATCCATTTGATTATTCATTTTCATTTCAGATCACAATAATGTGTTTCCTTTACAAATGAGTGTTTTTATATTTCTCTAAATTCCATACACATTGTTAATTTCTTGTGATGCACTGTTTGAAACTTTTGGTGTAGTAATGAATATTACTGGAGTAACTGGAATAACGGTTTGGTGTTGGAAAAAACTCCAGTAATATACATTGTTAACTGTTTGATCACCTTTTGAAATATTTTTCAACTCATCATTTTTCATATTTGTTTGATTACTTTTTTTATTCTCAGACATATTCGTTACAAACTTATTATCAACCGGATAAGCCTTTGGCAAGGAAATGTTCAACATTTGGAAATTTGTAATCGGAGCTACTCACGAATCAAAGACGTTTTGAGCAATAAGGGGGCCTGTTACTAACACCTAATGTATATACCAAAGTTTTGTAAAACGAAGATAAAATCACTAAAACAACCAAAAATCAAATATCCCACTCTCAGGCACTTAAAGAGCTGTGTTTAAATTTTGAACTGTCGTCTCGACCTCTCGCTTTCTTGCCGATGTTGGCCCTCATTGAAGAATAAAAAATTACTGTATATCAGACCTTTCAGTACACTACACTAGAGTAAAAGTAAGATCATGTCTATGAAAAATAAATGAAGAGAATAATAACCTAATACGTTATGTTATGTATATGTATATTATGGGATGTTATGTACATTATTTTTTAAAGATATAAGCATGGAGCTATCCAATCACTGTCCTACTATTTAGCCTATTGATTTTAATGATTGTTCAATATTATTTTCCAACAACGAATAGAATATCTCATTCAACATGGGCTTAGAAGAAGTTAATATTCTTGAAATTATAGTGTGTAATATTAAATATTCATTAGGTGGGAGAAATATATACCGTCGTCACAATGTTCTCATCGTATGCTTGAAACTTCGTTCACATATTCCAGATGACAAACTTATAATACATGTAACCAAATCACATATCAATAAGTTATAATAGAGGATCGAAGGGCATAAAGCTAAGCTTTTTTTGTACTGTTTAGATGGCTTCCCCAAAAATAAAATGAAAAAATAGAAAAACAACACAAACAGATCAGGGACAAGATAAACAGAAAACACACAAGATTAAAACACATTCCGAAACAAATAAATGGAATTGGAAAAGAAATTTTCAGAAAGTATAGCAAAGAGTTGAAGTAAATAATTTTTCCTGAAAATTTCTTCAACATAGCTTGGACAAAGACTTCTGCTTTGGTCGAGCTATCTGAAATATCATAGCACTCAAATTATTTTTGAAAATTCAAGTGAGATAATATTTCTGGGAGTAAATCACAAAAAACGAGTCACCTTAACTGACACTACATTCAATGCAACATTCAGTTAAGACAACAATTATTTAATAAAAATTGACTTTCTTACCTTGAGAAGTGCCGGCTAAGCTGTCATTTCCCTGTAGAGACTGATTCAAACCTGAAAAAAACGTATAATCAATCATTCAAATTATAAAATTCTAACTTTGGTGGAGATTTCTTTCGACAATTTTCTCTCGAACACTAGCAGTTTGTGGGACATGAGAAAAACCACCTCTAGCAAGAAGTTTGAATCGACAGGTAAGAAAAGATCATTGCGTCTTGGTATCACCAAGTTTTAACTTTGGAGAGAAAGTCGCAGAGAGAAATAAGAAGCGATTTCTCATTTGGCGGTCGATTTTGCAATGGATTGCCATTAGAACTATCTTTCATCTTTGATATTTGTGGTTCAAGTTTTTTGTAAATCCTACAGATAGCGAATTTATATACAATTCTGCTTTCATATATTCCTCCACTGGGCAGAGGTAGCGATTTAACAGACCATTTTCAAATTCAATATTCAATCTTTGAAGAATTTTTAACCGACATAGATAGATAAAAGCTCATTCAAATTGGCACTTCTGATTGAGTAAATATGAAATATTTATCATTTTCTAATTCTGTAGAATTTTAATGGATAGGTTTGAAATAGGTTATTTTCGGAATGAAAATGGCCAGTTGTGAGATTTGCGAATAAACTGAAATGACTAATTGCTCCGTTGCCATACAGATTACAGTAATATTTTTCCACCAAACTATGCGTCGAATATCAGAATAGATTCAAGGTGTTCTTTTCAGAATTACAAGTTTCCATCGTAAATTTTGACTATAAGACCAGAAACACTCTGTATAGCTAATGTCAGTACCAGGAATTTGGCACTTGCATTGTGTATTTCTTGACAGAGATAAGCAAAACAAATGAAATCTGCAAGAAGATTCCATCACCTTCTTCATCATTTTGAAGATCACAGATAGCTAGTTGAACCCCATGAAAGAATTTGTCTGTTTGTGGACGAAACACAATATCAGGCATTGAGTTCTGCACAAACTATGTGTGCAAGTTAATTTTCCTGATGGATCAGGACAGAATTGATACAAACATTTCAAAAAGACTGCTCGTGGAAGGACAAGTTCGGAGGTCCAACGTTCTATGTAGAGTTCAGAGCAACACTCCCTTGGATCCAATGTTCGGAATGTATTGTATTGGAATGATATGAAGGAAAGACTGTCAGCGAATATTTTTATAGAAGTACTAGCAATATAATAGCAGCGAGGAGGTAGGTAGGTAGGTCTAAAGTGAGTGGGTCTATTCGACCCTCCACCGCAACCCATAAGGGTTTATTGTGGCTCACACCTATTCACACTCGGCCAAATAAACCGAGCTTCTTAACGAAGCCGATTAGTTTGTATGGTGGTCTTTCAGGTCAGATAGTGATAGTACGGATCTGCCGAACTCAAAGAACCTGACTCAAACCAAAGTATATGCTCTGCAGTTTCATCATTTTCCAGTCAGAGGCGACACACACTGACTTCCGACAGTCCAAGTCTCTGCATGTGATGATTCAAATGACAGTGACCTGTAAGAAGGCCTGTTAGACATCGTAGTTCATCCCTAGTGTAGTCCAACAACTGTTTGGCATCAAGATTCGAAGGGTGAATAAACGCCTTGGAGGGAGCCAATCCTGGAAGATTCTGCCAGAAGTCCATAACTCTTCTTGCCATCCAGGTGTTCAGTGTTTGTTTGGCAAAGCCCAAAGCGTTGCCAATGACAGGTTCTGGTCCAATGAATCCGCTTGCAGCACCCTCCTTTGCAAGAGAGTCAGAAGCTTCATTGCCTTCTAGGCCAGTATGGCCAGGAATCCAGACCAGAGACAATCTGTTAAACTCGGGAATAGTACTTTATAAGGCAGTTCGTAGTTGACAGTTGGAGGCATAAAGTCAGAGGTCATTTCCAGAATGCTGTGACTTTCAATGTCAACCAACAGTCTGTTGCACTCTGCATTGAATTGATTTGTGCAATTGGCAATGTGCACAAGTCTGTATGCAGTCCATCTAGCCTCTCTTTCCAGATCTTCATGGCCGCTGACGGTGTAGTACTGATGGCACCACTGATAGCCAGACAAGCCTGTCTCTGTTAGTCAGAGAGCTTCGCTTGGGCCGTTTTCTGTAAAGCCTTCGGGCACCAAGCAATTGCACCATAAGTGATCAATGGTCTGACAATCATCACATAAATCCAATGGATTTGTTTGGGACCTAAACCCCAAGTTTTACCACAAATCCTTCGACATGTCCATAGAGACAGTCTGGCTTTGTGTAAAACTTTTTCCAAGAAAGCATTCAAGGTGACTCTTTTATCAAGGACAATGCCAAGATATTTCACCTCCGTTCCAAATGGAATGCACACCACTGAGGGAAAGTGGCGTTAGATCGTCCAATTTCCTTTTCTTGGTGATGGGGATTAACACAGTTTTGCTGGGGTTGACAAACATCTGCTCCCTCAGGCACCAACTGTGAACAAAGTCCAACGCGCTTTGGAGGATATTACAAGCTACCCTTCACGATGTGGACCTTGCCAGGATGACAAGGTCATCTGCATAAGCTTGCAAATCAACTGAGGAGGTGGTAGTGTGCTTGACTCACGATCCAAAGATTGTGAGCTAGAATCCAACTTCAATAAGATATTTTTCATTCGAGGATTTGTCTGGCAGAAGTTGGATAGACTCTGCTAAGTTACATGTCTGTCAGGACTGCAAATAGTCTTGGTGTACTTTAGTTGACCTGAAAAGGTATCAACATAGCCTACCCAAAACATGCAAAACACTTGATGCCGTTGACAGAAAAAAAAACAATCTAATCCTGACTTACCTCCAAGACTGGTCGGATCCCCGGCCAGCGCCGCCATACTAAAGTTAAAGCTGCCGGCCGCTGTAGCGAAAAGCTTGCTCTCCGGAGTTAAATAGGGGCTGATGGCACTGTCATGATCATCATGATCTCCGCCAGAACTGCCCGAGTGCGGTCCCTGAGGTAGGTTGTTAGGCCCGTGTTCGTTAGTCATGTCTGTGGAGTCGTTGCTGTCGCCGTCCTGATTGGTGCCGCACAGTAGTTCCATTGGTTCGTTTTTCACATTCTCGTTGTTGTCATTTGTGCACCGAGAGTGGAGTGTCGTAGGTGAAGGCGAACAAGGTGAATTTTCTCTTTCCGTACTGCTGATGCCGTTACCTGGAACGGGATAAATATTCAATCAGTCAATCATTAAATCCAGATATGTTTTATTGTGTCACGATTAAACTTTTATATTCAATGGAAATAAGAGTATTCGGGTTGATTCAAATCAAGTGCATATCATTCATAACCTTGTTTTTATTGGAGATAGGAAATTTTTCAAATAAGCAAACTGATAACATTTTTACACCCATTCTTTTATACCTCGCAAAAAATAAACGAATTAGATAGATAGATACATAGATAAGCTTCATTGTCTAATCATATTATCTCACCTTATTCGGTGATTGGTATCAAAGAAACAGACTGATCGTCAACATGAATAAAACAGTGTGTATTGAAACAACTGACTCGTCAACCGCTTTTCACAAGCTTTTATTCAACTGGCAATGTTTGTATGTTAGTTCTGGTCAAATATTGCAACTGATTTTTTAAGCAATTATCTTCAACTGATTTTTTAAGCAATTATCTTCAACCGATTGTGCTGAAATTTCACACACACGTTTGGTTTGGATTTCAATGCTTGGTTAGCTTAGTGACGTCATTCTACATCCAACTTGGTAAACCACCCAAAATGACAGACTAGTTTTTTAAACACTCTCATGATATGGGTATCAAAGAGTTTACTAAAGAGAACACAAAAAAATATGACTCCTAATAATTCACACACTGTTACCTAACAATTAATATAAATGCTCAGAAATGGATCAGAAACAGGAGTCTGACGCGTTTGCCAGCTTTTTTTTTTGATATGATTCCACTGGTTTTTTTTCTATGGGGTTATCTAAAAAAAAAAAAAATTGTATACCATGTGCCGTCAGTAGATTTCAATGATCTCAAAAAACCAATCTGTCAGGCATGCCATATCATCACACCGGCTAAAATCACATCAGTCTGTACTAGGGAACTCATGAGATAATATGAGACCATTGTGGAATAACGTTGAGCATAGTCCGAACTTATTTTATTGAATTTATGAAGTTTTCTGTATTTCATGATTTCATATTTCAATATTTTCGAAATATTCGGTTGGAAATGACTTTTGAGAGCCTGTGTATATTTTTAATAACAAGGAGACTTTGTTTAATTTTTCAGCTTGAGAAATTTTGGGATATCCTGTATGTAACTTGATCTTATAAGTAATTCTAAGAAAAACATGTTTTTTCATGAAGTAGGTGAATCTGTATTAATTTGATTTGAAGTTTATTTTATTCTTTTTGAAGCAGATAAATAAAAGTTTGTGCTTGAAAATGTGTTTTAATAATAATTAATTACACGACTATATATAAATTATATAATTCGTAAATTTGAAGGCATCCTTGAGATGCTTATTTTGTTGAAAAACTTCTAGAGAAGTTTTTCAACAAAATAAAATATCAAGNACCGCTAACGAGGTATCGTCAGCAAAGAGAGTGAGACTATTGTTGTTGATGTTGAAGTATTTGGGTAGATCATTGACGAATAATAGAAAGATAAGCGGTCCCAGAACAGAGCCTTGAGGAACTCCTGAACTGATTGGTTGAGGATCAGATAGTGTATCTTTCATTTTGACCAACATTGTACGGTCTGAAAGAAAATGTTTGAGCCATTGCAAAAATACACCCCTAAATCCTAGATTAAAAAGTTTGGTTTCAATAAAGTCATAAGATAGAGATCAGTGGCTGCATTATATACATTTAAGAATCGTAATGGATGTTTGGGTTTATTTTTTCTTTAATCCATGTTATCTTTTTGAAGGAAGCAAAACTCTAAATGATTAAAACACATTTAATAGAAAATGTGGGAAACTTCCAAAGAAAATAACTGAATTAAAAAAAAAAAGATGTGCAGATCATTCACAGAACTTTGTTTCCGACACAAACTGGAAAAAACATTTTTGAAAAAACTACTTTCACATGAACATTGAATTGAAAGGAAAGAAACAGATTTTTTTCAAAAACTACTTTCATAGAAACATTGAATTAGATGAAAATCTTTTTTTCTCATTTAGTTTGTAAATCGATGGATGGATTTAATGCAAAAAAGTGATTAACATTTATAATAATGTGTGAAATCATGACTACTGATCTTTAGGCAATCAGTAGCACATGCTGCCTATTGCAATGTAATCTACTGGCATACTATGCTTGCATAGTTACATGTGCACTAGGACTTGTTATGGTCGTCGTAGTTGTGAGTGTCTGTGATAAAGTGATGAGCTGGACATAAATAATCATAATTACGGGAGTTGGGTCGTTAGTCTTCCCTTTAACGATTCGTACATAAATAAATGTTCCTATGAAGGTAATTGTTTTGAAAAAACTTGTTCTTGTGTAATTCAATGTCCATGTGAAAGTAGTTGTTTTGAGAGTTTTTCTTCCAGTTTTTATCTAAAAAGAGTGTTTGTTGCAGTCCTTTTATTTTTTCCTTCATTTTGGACGTTTCCCACTCTTATTGTTTCATGATGGTGAATTGGAAAGCCAAAAACCGAGCTCTCCTAAAAATATTCTCATTTCGAGTCACAACAAAGTTGGATAATTATTGGCAAGAAAAACGTATAGAAGTAATGAACTGTAATCATTGTGATCCGTTGTCATTTCAAGTTTATTTTATAAAATATTCAATGGGGGACTATCGATAGTTGATCTGCCGATCACTGCATTTCACTCACCTTCTATTTCATTTTTCATCGAATTCAAATTGAGGTTGAGGACATTGTTTTTCATGGCGCTGGGCGAGAAATCGGCCGGTTGCGTTTGCGGCGGATGCGTGTGCGTTGATAAATTCAATTCGTTATTATTATTATTTCCTATGATGTGTTCTGCTCTAACTCTCTTGTGATCGTTTTCCGGATCTATAGATATCCTTCTTTCTCTTCTATACTGCATCGCCGCCCGCCTGAGAAGCTGGTTGACGGTGGCGCCATGCGGGGGGGATGAGGGTGACGTGAAGAGGGCGTCCTCTACTAGCTTTTCGGTGAATGTCGGGTGATGATTCGATACCGGCGTCGAATGTTGTTGGGATCTAACCATACTTTGTACTTGTGCCAACTGAAAAAATACAATATGTTACTTGATCTTGACAACGGTCATTCTAAGAAACGAATTATTTTTTTAGTAAAATGGGCAAATCTCGTAATGAGCTTTTATACCATATAAATTTTTCAATGTAATTAATTAATTGGTCCGATTTATTTGAAGATTATTTGCTTCTTTTTGAAACTGTCGATTAAAGACTTGTTCAACACTTTTTTTACTATTAATCAGTACGACCAATCAGCCTTACATCCTTCCTGTTGAAAGGACTTGAGAGGATACTGGACAGACACATCAGGAGGGTAGCATTATATGTATCCCCCCTGAATAACCAAAAGTATGCTTATCAAACCGGCAAATTGACAGATTTATCATTAAACAACCTCGTTGAGAAAATCTTCTAATCTCTTGACAACGAGGAGATTGCGGTTGCTGTATTTATTGATATTTAAGGAGCATTTAACAATGCACTACCTAAATTTATAGGATTGTGTCTGACTAGGAAGGGTATAGAATCGACCATAACTGGCTGGATCTTTGCCATGCTAGTAAACAGAACTGCAATTACGACTCTTCAAGGCAAGGCCATTAGGTTCAGGGTTACCAAAGGCTGCCGCAAGGTGTATCACCCCATCTGTGGTCGCTCCTGAAGGATAGTCTGCTTGATGCCCTCGACAGAATAAAAGTTGATCTGCAACCTTATGCAGATGACTTTGTCATCCTAGCAAGGTTCACGTCGAAAAGGGTAGCTTGTAATATCCACTAAAGCGCGTTGGACGTTGTTCACAGTTGGTGCCTGAGGGAGCAGATGTCTGTCAACCGCAGCGAAACTGTGTTAATCCCCTTCACCAAGAGGAGAAAACTGGACGATCTAACGCCACTTACCCTCAATGGCGAGGTCATTCCATTTGGAACAGAGGTGAAATATCATGGCATTGTCCTTGATAAAAGACTCACCAGGAACGCTTGGAAAAAGTTTTACACAAAGCCAGACTGTCTCTATGGACATGTCGAAGGATTTGTGGAGGTGGAGGGTCGAATATACCCACTCACTTTAGACCTAACCTAACCTACTATCAATTTAATAATTTGACTTTCAGTATATAAATAACATTTCAATAGCAAAACTTGGATAATCTAGTTCTTAAGGAAGCAGAAGTCAGCTTCTTCATCCTTCAGGTTTACATTTAAATGGATACAATACTATTTCACTACATCAAGTAACATCATAACATGTGTTGAAGGTCAATAAAAGGAGATGATGAATGCACCCTACAAAAATAAATAAATAAAAACAGCATCAAAAATTTGGAAATTGAACAATTAAAAAATTAAATGAGTATGGAGACAAGACAGATGAATGAAATGGAAATAATATTACAGAAATGCAGAAAATATTCAAAAATTTATGTTTGAAATTTTTGATTCATTTGTTATTGAATGAATGGAACCATATTTTTTTTGTATAGTGTATTCAAACCTAATAAACCTTTCGTTGTTGGTTCTGAGTATGATAATTTTTATATGCATTCAATTGTTTTGTTTTGTAAAGATTTCCAAGGTTTTATTGTGAATTTATTGGCTGATTGAACAAAGAAAGAAGAAATGAGAAATTAAATAAAGTATTGCATGCGTTTATAAAAAATTAAAATGGAAAATAAGAAATAACCATGGACCAATCATATCATATCAACTGATATCTAAGAAACAGTAGTTTTATAGGTTTTAATTCTTTCAAACGAAATTTTCGATAATTCCGAGCAAAAATGATTGACGAAAACATTGTAATCGAACAAGTATGGGGAATGGGGGTTCATACTGTTGTAAATCATGCTCGAAAGAAAATAACGCCGACCGCCACTGGTAACCATAAACCAAACGTGATGTAGCTAAGAGCACGCGAATGTACGATGATTCCCCACCATTCTAGAAGCAGCGAGAATAATGCTACCGACAATTGTATAATAAAATTTTATGAAAACTGTTAAATCTCTAAATGACCGTGACATATAGACGCATGCTCAGAAACATTTACGGAAAAAATCTGAAAGCTAGCAAAATTTTTAGCTTACTGCTTATTTTTTATTTTGATGTATTCATTTTATAAATGCTCTACCTCGAAAGTGTACATTCAACATTCTTATTTATAAACCCACCTGAAAACTCAATTAACAAATATAGCAAATCTTTTCTTACTTGGTCGCGACCGTCACCGTGTTGTTGGGTGAGGCCACTAACTCTAAGAACTTCCGCCGTTTTGAGAAATGACGATAAGGAACGTTGGTGCACGTTGACTTCTCCGTGGTAGATGAATTCCACCAGGGCGTGCAGGTCCGTCCAGGCGACATCTTGAAGGACTATCACAGGATGTTTGCAAGGAGTACTCTGAAAAATAAAGGATGCCATTTGAAATTTCGATATAAAATCTGATTCTGGTATAATTAACAAGCAATAAATGAAGACGGGGAAACAAATCATAAAAATTCTGAGTATACACTGTTACTCCGAATAAATCTTCACACTTACAGAAACTACATAATAACACCGATTTTGTTCATTATCTCTGGAAGTTAGTGAATCGTTCTCTCAATTGAGTATAAATTGTTCTGTGATTTTACGATCACTTCGAGTCTCCCCCACTTAGAACTACATTTCAAAATGTACAAGTTTCATTTTTGTTGCTTGGGAGTGGTCTGATTCATCCATTTTTCCGAAGAAGACAGTAATCACATGGGTTCTTTGACTTTTTTTCGTCCAATTTTTTCGTAATGCCCATCCCAACAATTTTGTTCAGTCAGTGTTGCTGTATTGGTACCTTTTGTGTAAATTCAGTACATTTGGAACCTTTAAATACTTTTAGTACAGCCTGGCAAATCTAGCTGTGCCCCTGAATATTGGATGCGCAGTATATCAGCCAGAGGAGTGGCGCCGTATATCAACCAAAAGAAGTGGCGCGAGAGTTCATTAACATCGAGGAACTGGTGTAGCGAATATGATATTAGTATAGTAAGTTGAGGAATTATTCTGTGTGAATTGTGAGTTATTTGTTATTTTTGAAAATGCTTTCGAATAGTAAACTGAACAACAAGGTTCTCAGTTCACAACTTTGAAGGTTTAAGAGCGAGTAGCGAAAAATAAAAATTGAGATAAAAAAATAGAAAATGTTAAGCAAAAACATTTTTAACTCCAAATAAAAAGGGAAGTACATGCATAATTCATTTTATTATCAAAAAGAAACGAATTTCTACACTCAGAGAAATTCCTGAAACTATCACCCGAGATATTGACTTTCAGGGCAGCAGGGAGTCTCTGCTGACATGCACCAAACATGCACAGACATGCACCAAAAAGATTGGAATGATCATGCCATGGAAGGTCTGAAAAAACCTTTTAGTAAAGGGCAACGTCTGATCATAATACATACGGGTGGTGAAAATGGGTTTGTACCAAATGGTTACATTAGATGGAAATCAAATTTTAATACAGGTGATTATCACAATAAAGGAATTTTGAAGCTTATAAGAAATGGGTGTCGGAACAGTTGTTTCCGAATTTGCCGTTAAGAAGCGTTGTGGTGATCGTTAATGCACCATAAAATAATGAACGAATCGGCAAAACGCTGTTATGTAATCATCGTTATCAGAGAGGATTATTCCATTGGGAAAAACATGCTGAAACCTGAATTATATACCCTCATAAACAACTATAAGCCAAAATTAAAGCGGTATGAAATAGATCAGTTCTTTCTAGCAGCAAATCACAACGCTGTACGATTACCTTCGTATCACTCGGATTCGAATAAAATTGGGTTGGTTTGGGTCGAACTGATTACGATTTATTTGAATAATTTCTTTCGAGGAATATGGGGATGAAGATGGTAATCTATCCGGAATCGAAACTATTACTGACCATGTATCAACAGTAGGCGAAAAATTATATTATAATCTTTAGGCAACCAATTTTCGAAATTATTATATGAGTTGTATCTATGTATATAGTGATATATTATTAGCAATACTGCAAACAATGTTTTTTAGATTATCTATCTGCTTCGTTTCATTATCATTTCTAGTAACTAGGCATTCAATTATCTATTAATTATCAGTTGTAAGTTTATCTATCCACTCTCTCTTAGTTCATTTATCTCTAATGAGATTGTATATAGCTATATTTGCAATTACATATCAATCATTATCTTCTATTTTCCTCCTGTACAAAAGGAAGAATTGGGGTTCCCAATGGTTTATGTGTAGTTGTCAACACTTGCCGAATCCATTTGAACTGAAATTCTTTTCCCAATTGTACTTCCTCATAAAAGTTGATGGTGTAGAGTTACCATGTCTTTATTGTTCCCGCATCTCAGAGGAACAGTTAGATTTGACAAGCTGTACGCCCTTTAATGTTTTAGTACTTTTTACCAAGTCTGCATATAAGATCAGTCTAGCTAGTCATATTAGATTGTCACTGTTGCATGACATATGTGTCATTTTCGACATGAAATCGCTTTTACATGATCATTTTTATAAAACAAAACTGACTGCTTACACATTTTCATGTCACTTGTCACTTTGTCTTTGGTGTATATCTCTTGGCATCCAATTATTTATTATTATTGTTTGAATTTGATTTGAAATTCATGAAAAACTGTAACTATAACAAGGAAAAGGGTGAATATATGCTGAATATATGAATTATTAACGTAACGACATTTTTCAAAGCATCGCGGCAACACTGCCGACAGTAATAGTTTGTACAGGTCCTCTTTTGGATGTCTGTTATATTCTTCTGTAAATAATTTGAACCGTCTATAAATTACTTTTTTTCTTGCAATCCAGTGCTCCGCATTCGCATAAAACTTGAAGAGCTATCTCTATTTATTTATTGAATCGCTGAAACCGAGGTCTTTGTTATACGGCCTTTTTTCGTTAAGATGTCCTCTAAATGGTGTTCAATGCTTAGTAATCTAATCAGTGATTGGTCCTGTTATTGACCAATTTCTTGATTCAATCCTGTAACAAAGACTTTGGTACACCCAGATGGTGAAAGACCTATCTATGGAGTTGATGATCATATTATTAATTATCCTGAATTTTAAATATTGCCTTTGCAAAATCATATGAACTATTAATTCCAAACATATATCAGTAGGGGACATTACGGATCAAGCTTATCTTCAACTTTTTTAGTTCAAGTTACAACAGACCGCAATGCTGGTGAGATAATTTTCATTTTGATAATACTTTAAAAATAGATATGTGGCCTGGATGAAGAAAAACTGGTTGATAGTTTAATAATGTATAAATCAATGTTATAAATAATTTTTTTATGGTAAGCACATGAAACCACATTATGGGTTGATTCATTTAAATTTTTCGTTGTTCGTAAATGAAATATATCTAACAACAGCTGTACTTTTAAAGGAAAATTTACTGTTGGGTGAGGAACAAAGATTAAAAAAATACCCGTCAAAAAATTGGGCCTTCACGTGGAATCAAGGACATTATCGATATTGCCTTGTTTTGTCTTGTTTCTTCAGACAATGATTTGAGATATTCTTCGACTCAACACCAATTTACACATGGTATTAGTGTTCATCAAACAAGAATACGTACTTTATATGAGTATTCTGTTCGTAGAATACTCATATAAAGTTCTGAACTGACTGTAAACTGATTACACGAGAATGAATATTTTTGAATGTTTGTAATGGATAAACTCAAAAACTACTTGACTAATTTTAAGAATTCATAAAATAATCATAGTTATCTACAAAAAAGTTTGTGATGCTATAACAATTCCAGTTAAATCATGCTGAACGATTTTTGTTCAAGTCAATAATAATTAGATGTATATTCCACCAATAAAACATGCCCACTTCTGTTCAAATGTTTTTTTAAAGTCGAAGTACTCTTTTTGACGTATCAACTGACGTATCAAATGAAGTTTTAGTTTCAGTTGATACGTCAAGAAGAGTACTTCGATCACGCCACTGAAGACGACTGCAGCAATTGCAGTCGAAACGTTTGGAAATCATAACCAAAGAAGACCACGGGAAAAACCGGAAAGCCTACATTCCTATGATTCTGGTGTTTGCTTTGAGGTTATTTCTTCCTGATTATTTTAGTATTGAGATTTCTCCTTCAACTCTTTCATCATCAAAGCAATCTACCTTGTGTCGTGATCGAAGCCTAAAATCAATGAAACGCAATGAAATAACATGTTGATACTCAAGATTATTTTTGGATACATTTTGAGAAGAAATCATTGACACATATAATAATAATAAATCGACTTTATTCATTTAAAAAAAAAAAGAAATGTGTTCACAAGTGATAAAAGTAAAACAGATGAACAGGCGGATTATCAGCGTAAGCTGTTTTTGGTTCTCATTTTCTCTTTTTGCTCTTTCTGAAAATGGCTCCCATTTTCACATTATTAAAAATTTGTATTCCAAATTGTAATGTGCCTATAAACGGTACATGACGATTTTATCCTACATCTGGTCAAACAAGTACAGTTAAGGTTCTACTAACTATTCAAACACATCCTAGAATGTCAGAGGTTGTCTAAATTTTCTGGACTTTTCAGATCATTGTCTGAAAATGTTGACTGATATACGATATGATGTTTCGATCTTTAGTATCATCGAACGTCTGTGGGTGATGACTCACTGAGCGTATCAATCCGACTTCTGCATCATGACTTCAAATCGTCAAACAAAAGTTCGAATAATCTACCACGACTTTTGATGGGAGTTTATATACGACGGTTCGGAGTTTCAGAGCTAGATCAGTTCGGATATTAGTTCCGAGTTTAAGAAAAGCGACGAGTAAACAAGTGAAACTAACGGCATTGACTGTGGTCATTAGTCTCATGATCTCAGTAGGTGAAGTTAATGTCTCTCCAAACCACCTACGGCTATTCGCAGTGCCTTCAGCTATGTAACGCTGGAGGATCAACCTAACCTCAATTAGACAACTTTTCGTAAGAAAAATATCTGGTCAATGTTAGGTTTGAATTCGGGACCTTTCGGCCGAGAGTCGGGCACCTAACCACAACACCAATTTGCGTACCACACATAATAAAATATCCACATATAAACATGCAAGGAACTTCTTCGGTGGCTCGGTGAGGCTGCTATGTTTTGAATATCTGGATCTGAAGCAAGTTCTAATGCACTCAGATCCAATTCGTTTCTTGTTCCCCAATGTGAGGAAGAGATAGTATCGGTTTGAATTATTCTTTTCCTTGTCCCTGAACAATATCTGCTCTACGAGTTTCTTGAAGTGTTCGTTCTGTAGAACATCCTTCTTGATATCATTCAGCTTCCTGAAGGGAATTTGTTTGGTCTGGCAGGTTGCATATTTGAATTCATGATCAATAAA